GATTGAACTTGGGTCCTTGCTCTTGTGCAGCAGGTGGGGAAACCACTGAGCTAAATCCCTGGCCCCAAACTTTTTATTTTAAAGTCAATCTTTTTTTTTTTTTGTACCGAGGATCGAACTCAGGACCTTGCGCTTGCGAGGCAGGCATGGCTCCACTGAGCTAAATCCCCGGCCCCAAAGTCTATCTTTTTTAAATGATTTTCATTTCTGTGTCTTGAAAGTCCTTCTGCTTTCTGAAACCAACAAGATATTCTCCGTGGTAGTAGAACATACTGAATGAGCATGGATTGTAAGGCCAGGCCAGCCATTCATCTTGATAAGACCTTGGTACTTTCTGCGATTTCTGTGATTCGGTTTCCTCATGTGTAAAGAATAATAATACTGCTGGGTGGTGATACTGCATCACTGTCTGTAAAGGGGTCAGCATGATGTCGGGTAAAGAGTAAACACTCACCAAGTGCTAGCCAGTGTCATCATTGTTACTACTTTAGATCTTTCCTATTTAAATTTCGAATTCATAGAGAATCTATTTTTGTGGGATTTTATTTTCTCTACATGCTAGGAATATAGGCTTTATACAGTACTTTTTTCAACTGGTTGATTTGTATGTCTCTGTGTCTGTAGCAAGCAAAGAGAAAAAGCACTTCTCTGTCTGTCTGTCTCTTTTTGTAATGGGGATTGAACCCAGGGTCTCTGAACTGAGCTGTATCCTCAGCCCTTTTTTTAAATTTTTTGAGACAAGGTCTCGCTAAGTTGCTAAATTGTCCAGGATGGGCTCTAGCTTACCATCCTCCTGCCTCAGGCTCCCACTGTGCTGGGATCACAGGCATGCACCACTAGGCCTGACTCATTTCTTGTTCTTCGCAAGAAATGTTTTGGCTTTTCTCAGACCTTTTTTGTTTCGTATAGATTTGTGAATAACCTCATCAAAGTCCACAAAAGAATTGAGATTTGTTTAGAAATGCACTGAATTTATGTCATCTTGGGGGAATGGACATCTTTTATAGTAATTTGTCTTCTGATCTGAGTATGGTTTATCTTCTATCAATTACTAAGATGTGTTAAAATTTCCCATTATGATTTCAGATTTTATCATTTCTTTCATTAGTTTTGCTTTTATCTACATTTGACACTTTGTTATTAAGCCCCCAGCCTAGACAAATTTAATACTTTTATCTTCCTGATGAAATAAACTCATTAATCATTGGGAATTATCTTCCTGATGAATTAAACTCATTAATCATTGGGAATTGACATTGTGAAGTGACTTTCACTTTTAATAAAACTTTCTTGGGCATGGGGGTGCTGGGAATCAAACCCAGGGCCTTGTGCATGCTAGGCAAACACTCTACACTGAGCTATATCCCCAATTTCCCCAGCCCGTTGACCTTTTGTCATACAGCTATACCAGCTTTCTTTTGCTTAGTATTTACATGGTATATCTTCTTTCTATACTTTTTATTTTCAGACTTACTATATCCTTATATTTTAGATATTTCTCTTACAAGTTACTGTGTGGTTGGATTTTATTCTTTTTCCACTCAGACACTTTTATTTTTAGGCCATATTTTGTGTGTGTGTGTGTGCGCGCGCGTGTATCTATAGGTCTCTCTCTCTCAGGGCCCTTTACATGCTAGAGAAGCATTTTGGCACTGAGCTACAATCTCAGTGACCTTCTGTTACTACCTAGAAGCTCTTCTAGCCTAAAACACCTTAATGGATTGGGTTTCTTAGATCAAACTCCAAATGAGTATGTAAGCAGACTTATGAATCCAGATTCTTAAAGAAGGGACCCCCCCCCCACTCCTTTACCCTGAGCCAACATGAGAAATAGACAAGGATCCAGCATCGAACAAGAGACAAAAAAAAAACAAAAACAAAAATAAAAACCTGTTCTTATGGAGCCTGACTGAGCAAGCAGAAAAGTATTAGGAAAAAGGCAGGCTGGGTCTCTTAACCATGGTGAAAATGAGGTGGTTCAAGATGTGTTGGGCATCTCTCTGGAGATCTGAACAGAATAATGACATATGATTTACATTTTAAAGGAGCACCCCTGCTGTCATGCAGAAAAGTCAGAGGGTGAGGAGGCAAGTCTGGAATTGAGAAAAGTAGATGATTCTTCTACTGGAGACACAGGTGGCATGCACTAAGACTGCAGTGCACATGGTGAGAGAGATTTGGGTAATACTTTAAAGGCAAGCTTTCTGATGGGTTGGACATAGAAATAAGTGGAAAAAAAGGACCAAGCATGACATCTAGGTTTTTGGCCTGAACACCTGAATGAACAAACAGTAGCACCATTTCCTGAGATGGAGCAGACTGACAGAAGAGTGTGTTTGAGAGAAACATGTTTTGGACATGTTCAGTTTTTGATTCAAATGGAAATGTGATAAATATGGTCCCAAACTCAAGAGATAGGATCATTAAATTGCTGAGGTTGACCTCAAACTTGTGATCCTCCTTGCTCTCCCAAGTAGCTGGAATTATAACGTGTGTATTATTGTCCTTAGCATGGCTTTGTACATTTTAATTAATTAAAGCTAAATAATATTAAAAAATCATTTCCTCTTTTGCACTAATCACATTTCAAATGCTTAACAGTCACATGTAGCTAGTGGCTATTTTAGTGGACAGTACAGATATAGAACTTTTCTGTGGGGCTGGGGATTTAGCTCAGTGGTTCCGCCGCCTGCCTCGCAAGCTTAAGGTCCCGAGTTCGATCCCCAGTACCAAAAAAAAAACCTTTTCTGTCATCATAGAAAGTTCTATTGGAGGGCCGGGGATTTAGCTCAGTGGGTTCGGCGCCTGCCTCGCAAGCGCAAGGTCCCAAGTTTGATCTCCGGTACCAAAAAAAAAAAAAAAAAGAAAGTTCTATTGGAAGCACTGACCTAGCACATAGAATAGGAGAAATCAGAATTAAAGGAAAATAGGGAGGGAAACGAGAGAGGGAGGAAAAAAAAGTTCAAGACTATACCCTGAGGATTACAAATTCAGAGGAGGGAAAGATGAAAAAGAAGAGAAGAGAGAGGGGAAAGACTTCAAGTAGCAGGGCCAGGGATTTGCTCAGTGGTTCCGCTGCCTGCCTTGAAAGCACAAGGTCCCAAATTCTATCCCTGGTACCAAAAAAAAGAAAAAAAAGACTGCAAGTAACAAACTAGAAAAGTAGTGTAATACTGGAGGCTTTTGAGGTAGGAATGTTCAGCTATAGGAGATATTGCTGGGAACGCAAATAAGCTGGCATCTGAAAATTGAGCAATGTATTTGGTAAAATGGAGAGCTGCTGGAAACCTTGAAAAGTCATCTCAGTGCCTGTGTGGGGTTAACACTCGAGTAGAGCGGGTTCAGGAGAGAAAGGGAAGTGAGAAAGTGCATAATACTGGTATCTTTTTCAGATTTTGTTATAAAAGGAAACAAAGGAATGGGTCCACAGCTAGAGGAATCTATAAAGACTAGTGACATTTTGTAAGATGAGAATTCCTACAAAATAATTTATTTAAAATCAAACACAGGAAAACATTTTAGCCCATTGTCCAGTTACAAAGCATAGTCTCTATTATACAGCTCATACTTCAGAATTTTTCACCAAAAATTCTTTGAAAGTTGTTTTTTTTTTTTTTTTTTTTGGTACTGGGGATCGAACTCGGGTCCTTTGGTACCGGAGATGGAACTCAGGTCCTTCCACTTGCCAGGCAGGCAGTCTTTCAAAGTCTTAATCAGATGACTAGCTACTAATTCCTTGTTCTTATTTCTTTTCTCCATATGCGTTTAGGGAAGGACTTTAGAAAAATAAAAGCTAGACTTTCACTGACTTTCAAGTTCAAAATTTTGTCTGTATTAGTAATTTTTTCAAACTGAGCATTTCTCAAGCTTAGGAATCAGATTTAAAAAATGTATTTCATAGTCACATAGAGATATAATTAAGAAATGTTATCCTAATTTTGTCCTTCTATTTTTTAATCAGAGAACCTTTTTTATCCACTTAGATATATTACGGCATGTTTCTCCCCATAGGAAAGCCAAACCTAAAGAGCACCTAAAGAAAGTTTCCTAAAAATTGGGTTTGCCACCAAAGAAATTGAAAACAATAAAAAAAGGTTTCCTAGGCTTTCTGAATTAAAAAAAGAGACAACAATTCCAAGAGATTTCATCTTAGAAGTGAAATGAGGGGGAAAAGCTAAACAAAACTCAGATATATAAAATTATATGAAATAAACAGTATAAAACAATAGAATGTTTTGGTTTGGATATTTCATATTTACAGATTTTTAAATGAGTCTACATACAATAGTTCAATATATTTTATACAAAAGAAAATACATTCACCATTCCTAATTTCATGAAAAAACTGTATTGTACTCTTTATCAACAACTTAATAGAACTACATAAAACAAAAAGGTGTAAAAAGTTGAACTTATGTCATATATTCTCTCTGGATATCGTAACATGATAGGCAATTTAAGTGTAAATTGTGAGAACAAACAAATTGGGTTTTAGAAGACCTGTTACTTACCATGTAAACTGCTATCAATTTCAACATTTTCAGACATTATGGAATTATTTGTGCTGTAACTCAGGCCAAGAACCATTTGAAGATCTGAGAGATTCAGTCGTGCTGTGAGTTCACCACTTTTATCTCCAACCTACAACCACAAGTATTTATATTTTAGAGTAGTATTTAAAGACACAGAATGATGGAGATTAGCTGAAAATGTTGTGACTCTAAAACTGCAAAATAATACAGGAAAATGAAAATAGTTATATTAGAATTAAGAGACTATGAATGAATGAATGAAATGGGTTATTCTCATTAATCGTTTTTTTTTTTTAAATACAGGAGAAAAGACTGAGTTTCTAAAATATCACAATAGGACAGCTAATTATATATATATACTTTTTTTTAAATTAAATTCTTTTATTGGTACATTTTAGGTATACAACACAATTACATTGCTCACTGGGAATTGTGTACCTTTACATGATGCAGCTGGGTTCTTATTTTTGCCCCATTCCTAGCTCTCCCTTCACCCCCTCCACCCATCCCTATTTACAAGGACTTTATTTCCATTTTTTCCATTTCTCAGCATTTTTTCCATTTCTCAGCATTTTTGCATTTTTTCGTTTCCTTTCTTTCCTTTCCCCTGCCCCTCCCACTACCCCTAGCCCTTTGGACCTTTTCTTCCTATTTT